TCTTGGCCACTGGGGCCTCATGGCAGAGCCCCCCCATGCAGCACGGGGCAGTGGGGATCGGCCTCAGCTGCCTGGTAACCACGGTGCCACATTGCACGAGTGCGGCCTGGCTCAGCAGGGCGCTCTGCAGCGCTGCACAGTCAGGCAACTTGGGCTGAGCAGTGACAGACTCAGGTGACAGCCAGAGCAGCTCTGAGATGCCAGACAGCATGCAGCACCCTGCAGAGCTAGGCTGCACTCGCACGATGTGGCAGCGCAGGTGCCAGGCAGTCAGGGCTGAGCCCTGCTGCCCTGTGCCGCGTGGGGGAGGGGCTGTGCCACAAGGTCCCAAGTGGCCTTAATGGCTGCTGCTACAGCCAGTGAGAGTGTGGGCTGTATAGGGGGAGGGTGGGGCCAGGCGGTCCCTGCAGCTTGCACTGCTCCCTGCCCTGCATGGGCAAGCAGCATGCTTCAGCAGTAGGGCAAGGGTCAGCCATAGAGACGCTCTGGCTGGCTACTTGAGTGTCTCTGTGGAGGACCTGAGCTCCAGTTTCCTCAGGGTACGGTCCAGAACCGTGCCCTGCCCCGCTTTTTTCTCACGGGGTATTTTTTTGATACCTGGATCTCCAGGTATCAAAATTTTGCCCCCGTGCTGCAAATATGCAGCACAGGGAATTTTTTTTTTTGTTTCTACATATGCATCTTGCAGCATCTCAAAGGGGTTTGAGACACTATAAGAGGCACGTGCATGCTTGTCTGGATGCACCCTAGGAGTTCAACTGAGTTTTATATTTGTGTGCCCTACCTTTTAGACTGTGCTGCTGGTTACCCCTTTTTCAGCTACTGGCTTTGAAACAATCCTAAGAACATAAATGATTATAGCACTGAAATGGGAAGGGGGGGGGGGATTAAAAATGCTCAAATGCTCAGTATTTCTTCCATTATTTTGGGATGTCAGACCTTTCCAGAAGGAACTACAAAACATCCCACTCCATCTAGACTACAGTGGCACTTGCACAGCAGCAAGCACAACAGCTCAGCATTTACCCAAGTAGCTGATGTGAAATTCAAAAAAGGCTGTAGATTAAATTTAAATGCACATTAAAATGAAACTGAGAAGTTA